GGTCCCGTTCATGGCGAACGTCCGTCCCTCGTCTGGCGCGGCTTAGGTCCGGCTCGGGAGAGCGCCACGGCACCACATCGATCAGGGGGTGAGAGGTTTTGCCTTACACAATGAATCTTTGTTTTTTTAATGAACAACTATTACAGGAAAACAATCAGAACAACAGGAACCACAGGGCAAAGACTAAAACAGGTATGGGCAGACCTTGGAGACACTGCAGTTCAGTTCCAGGCAACCGCAATAAAGTGAGTATCGCGATAAAGCGAGTTACACCATTTTTTTGGCCTTCCCAGACATGTGAAAGTGCTGCTGACATGAGACTGTCATCTATGAAGTGTAAAATAGCATTGTGAAAATACCTGAAATGTGAGAAGGACCAAAACATGACACGGAGTCTTAAAGTATATATTATTGGAATGTACATGTCTGGTATGAGCTTATCATATTTTAAGCTTATGTAAAAAATGGTATTGGTCAGGATAAACTACTAACTTTTATTTACAAACCATCAAAAAGCTTCAGAATGAAAGACCTATCCTTCTTGACTAGTGGGATAGGGAAAATACACATTAGAAGGTTAACTGGTTTCTTCAGGGGCACATACGAGTAATAAGAGAAAGAAAAGGAAACAGGAAATATTTAAATCCAGCTGTCCTGAAGGTCCCATCTAGACTTTGCTCCAGGGCCTTACCTAACGTAGGCATTGCTCAGGAACACATTCATACGTACTTTTCTTTCTGACGTAATTCGTCATTCATTTTCGTCAGCTGAGAAGAATTATCTCCTGACATCTTCATTATTTCTGCAATGTCACCTTCCAGTTTTTCCTTCGCCTTTACTAAATGAATTTCCCTTTCATCTCTCTCTCTAAATTTTGCCTCCATATCTGCATATATGTAGGGGGAAAAGAATGACATCGTTATATTATAATAAACAATTTTTTAAAAACCATTGTGGTGCAAGTAGAGACAACTAGCCTTCTAGGCAACCATTTCCGTGCACAGTGGCTGCACTCTTCAGAAGGGTCGGCATTCTCATTTACTCTGTTCTACATGCTCTACTCCCAGTAACTCCACTTCACTGGCCTCAACCTTCTCGGCACTTTGTAGTAGCTGCTGACCATTTGGTCAATGTAGATACTAAGAACAGTGCTCACTCAAGGTATCGTTCTTATTGAGCTAACCTGCTATTTGGTTACAAGGTGACTTCAGGGGATCAACAGAAATTTGCTGAAATGCCTCCTACACGGCAACCTTATTCTACAGGATGTCTGTACCCAACAATCTTCGCCCTCATAACATTTTTAGTGAAGCAAAGAAAAACAAGTAATAAACAATGTGAAAATCTCAAAGTATTCAGATAATAATACAAAAGGAAAGATAAATACATGTTATGGGTTGAATTGTTTAGGACCTGAAGGCAGAGAGTGAGTCGGTGGTGGACATATAGCAAAGAGGGCAGCAGGCAGAGGGAAAAGCAAGAGCAAAGGTAGCCAGGCAGGTATGAACCTGACATGTTCAACTTCTGAAGAGGGGTCACATGGTTAGAATATAACAAAGAGGTGAAGTCTGAAACAATGAAACATACAACTTTCCTCTAGTTCTTAAATGCTTCCTCCCCCACTATCATGATCCCAATTCTACCTTACAAATCCGGCTACACCAGAGGATGTAAACTACAGATAGGAACTAGAAACAGGGAATCCAGGATAGATGAACTCCTCAGGACCAGTGGTGAGAATGGTGATACTGGGAGGGTGGGGCGAAGGTGGGTTAGAAAGCAGGAACAGATTACAAGGCTCTACATATAACCTCCTCTCTGGAGGTCAGACAACAGAAAAGTGGGTGAGGGGAGACATCGGCAGTGTAAGATATAACAAAATAATAATAACTTATAAACTATCAAGGGTTCATGAGAGAGGGAGTACCAGGGAGGGAGGGGAAAAATTAGGAACTGATGCCAAAGGCTCAAGCAGAAAGCAAATGTTTTGAGAATGATGATGGCAAAAAATGTACAAATGTGCTTGACACAATGGATGGATGTATGGATTGGGATAGGTGTTGTCCGAGCCCCCAATAAAATGATTAAAAAAAAAAAAGAGGTAAAGTCTGAGATGTAAGAGGGGAAACCAACCCAAAATCAAACCCATGGCCTTCAAGTCAATGCCAGCTCATACTGACCCTACAGGACAGAGTCAAACTGCCTCAGAGAGTTTCCCAGGCCATTGTCTTTATGAAAACAGAAGGTCGCACATCATCCTTTCCTCTTGGAGTGAGTGGTGAATTTGATCTTTAGATTAACAGCTGAGCAATTAGCCACAGCACCAGCAGGGCTTGGAGCAGGGAAGGAGCATGATTATTCCTCTGAGCAAGATGGGTAGCCACAGAGGATGGCTCTGACTACTGTTGTAGAGCCAGCCTTCAGGAGACAAGGACAAAAGTACTTCTTTTAAGACAAATGTATTTGTTCTTTGGAGCCCTCATGGCATAGTGGTTATGTGTTGGACTGTAAACCTCAGGTCAGCAGTTCAAAACTACCAGCCACTCCAATGGAGAAAGACAAGGCTTTCTACTCCTTTCCAATGTTACAGTCCCAGACACTCACAAAAACAGTAAAACCATGTCTTACAGGGTCATTACATATCAAAATCAACTTGATGGCATTGAGTTTGGCAGCCCATAAGTACTTTCAATATTCTTCGCCAACACCATTATTCAAACACATCGATTCTTCTCTGGTCTCCCTTTGTCACATCACATTCCAATGAAAAATGAAGAGAGTAAGACTGAAGAGTCAATATGCTATTGTAACATCCTACTACTATCTCAAATCCTAAGATATTTACTGTGTTGAATACATAGTCATCAGTGAGATTGTCTTACCTGCTAAGTTTTCTCTCAACTTCTCCAGTTCGGAGGACAGCGCATTAAACTGCTCTTCTTTTTGGTGTAATTTGTTTACAGTTTCTATTTAGGATAAAATAAAACAGTTTTATGTATTACATATTTAATAAGCCATCTAAAGCCTGGTTGTAAGACAGCCAAATCATGTGCTTATGAGTGATGAGATGCCAGGATAATACAAAGTCCCATTATAATAAATCAAGCCAAAGCCTGGTGAACCTAACATGGATTATGAAGAAGAAATCCATTATCCACCTTAACATCAGGGAGGAACCAGCTCCCTTACCCCCACCCCTGCCAATCAATTATCTCTTTCCTTTTTCTAATTAAAACTCAATACAACTGCCAAAGACGAGGGGCCAGCCCCAATCCCAACAATGTGGACAGTCCCATCCCACCCCCCAGAAGAATTCACTTCAGAGGACAGCACTGAAGCTACAGCTCAGGGAGAGGGACATGTCTGATCAGAGCACACGGGAGCAGACGAAGGGGGAGGGAGAGAGAGTGGAGCACATCCTGGCCCACCAAGCCCTGAGGACGATATTCCTGCTCAGAGCAGCCAATGCAGAGAGAGGACCGTAGGGCCGGCCCCACCAGAAGACACGACATCCCTCACTGACCCATCGCGCTGTGGGGGACAACACTGTAGACACAGTGCAGGAATTGTGCCCAATCTGACCCACCACACTGAGGAGAAACACTAAGGGTGTGCAACAGAACAGTAAGGGGAGCAGAGCAAAAAGTCCCTGGAGAATACCAAAAATTGACTTTGGGGTCGGAGGGTGGCCACCCCATCAGAATCGACCAGAAAACACTCTAAAAAGGTCAACACCTTGAATTATTTATAGACTTTTTCTGATAAGATAGACAGGATAAACAATCCAGAGGAGGAAACAAGGGGACCCATGGTTTCAGGGGGACATGGGAGAGGGGGAGGCGGGGGAAAGGAAGTGGGTGCTAACAAACCCAGGGAATAAGGGAACAACAAGTGATCTAAAATCGGTGGTGAAGAGGGTTATGGGAGGCCTGGTAGGGATTGATCAAGGGCAATGTAACCGAGAGAAATTACTGAAACCCAAATGAAGGCTGAACATGATAGTGGGACGAGAGGAAAG